TCTTTTTCACAATAGTCTCTCAAAGGCAGCAATTCTGGTAGAGTCATACCGGTCAATTGTTTGATATTGTCCAACCAGTTTTAGCGTTGACGTCCTCTCCTACGTCCACCTTCAGGAGTGCCTTGCATGATGGCCTTACACAGGCTGCCGTGCCTTGTAATATGTCCAAACCATGCCATTTTTCTCTATTTGACAGTGGCAAGAAGAGGTTCCTGGTGATCCACAAAACTTTCAACTGTTTTCTGCACAAATTCATTGGTTTATGTGTTCCCAATAGAATGCTTGGATCCTTCTCTCTGCATCTGCCAACAGTGTCCACGTTTCACATCCATATAGGAAAATGGAAACTACCAAATGGAGAACAATCTGCCAAAAATGTGGAAGGAAAAAATCCCCAAAAGATGTAGAAAGAAAAGAAAAACACAAAAGATATAGAAAGAAAAAAGCACAAAAGATTTAGAAAAAAAAAACAGTAAGGCAGGAAAACAGCACCACTAAAGATTTCAATAAAAAACAAAAGCTGAAGGAGAAAAAGACAAAAATTGTAGAAAAACTTAAGAAAACAGATGCAGAAATTCATCAAAAATCAGAATAAAAAAAATGTCTTAATTGAGAATCTCTGAATAACTTAATGGCCACAAAAGAATTTAGCAGCTGAAACAAAAAAAAAAGTACAGTCAGAACTAATATGTTGAATAATAAAAATACTTCATCTGAGAATTTCAAAACATTAGTATTGCTACTAATTTAACAGGTCAACAAGTATGGATCAAATATATATGATATAAAGTAACATAAAAAGGCAAAAGTAATTAACATTTTGATATCTGATGATACACGACAACCCCTCCGTTATTTGCATCAAATATTGAAGTATTGTCGTGACAGTATATTTACAAATACTGGTAAACTATATAATCTTTTTCACAAGTTTTTTTTTTATCTCTTGTTTTGTTGATTTTAATAGCAATATTTATTTCAACTACTACTAAGGTATTAACAATCTTATGTGCTGGGGTCGTTCAGGATATGGGGTGATCTTGGCTCTTTACAATTCATGTCTCCTGTAGCTCTGAACAATCCAATTGAATAAAGTTGGTAGACAACAGAAAAAATAATTGAGAGAACTTTAAAAACAAAAATATGTTTGGAAAAGTTTCACATCCGGGTATGCAGACCCAGGTCTTTAATTCCCATCATTTAGAAGCATTTCAAAGGTTTGAAACTGTCCGCTATGTTTTCATTAAGAACATGTGATAAACTGGGAAATGAAGTTAGAAGCGACAAGAAGAGGATTTTGTGTTGCACAATTAATTCAGTTGATAAATTACTGAACTATAATATTACTGTTCCTTCCATCACTCAGATAATTTAATTATTCTCTTCCATTCCATCTCGAAAATTCCGTTAGCAAATTACGAACATGTTTTCTTTGGAGCTGGAAATGATTTACTCCAATTTTCTAACATCAAAAAGAAAATAAAAACAGTAATCAAAATTAAAGTCAGCAGCGAAAATATATTGGTTCAAAGGTTTGCAGTAACATCAATGTTAGAGAAATCTTTAAAGTGTACCTAATTTTTTATTATTTGCAGAATCAGTCAACTCTAGGATATAGTTTGCATGCCTTAGGAAACATTCAGAGACTGGGAAAAAGAGTTATATATATATATATATATATATATATATATATATATATATATATATATATATATATAAATATCGAATCGATTCTCCCGTCGGGTTCGACGTATGAGGGTCAAGCAGATCAGTTTCCAGGAAACTGACATCCCGACACCGGCACATGAGATTCGATTATAGCAGGACAGACTGGGTTCTATAGCCTCGGATGACAACTGGTCTAGGAGAAGGACAACTCTGAATTCAAAACCTGAGGGGGGTTGTTTGGGGACCTTGTGGCACGTAGTGCACCAGGTCTCTGTATTCGGCCCTTCAAAAAGTGTGGATGGTCCTGCATGAAGCCTTCACCACTATAATCGATATATATATATATATATATATACATATATAAACTGACAAAAAAAAAAGATCATTGGTCAATTTTTAAACATTTGATATTCTTTTCCTGTTAAAGATAGAAAAGTTATTTTAAGACAAGGTAATTCCTAGCGATGAAAAACTGGGTTAAGTTGTACAATAGGCAGAAATTATCATATTTCTTTTTCACATTATTATAGATTCTATGAAAGTTAATAGTTTACGATGTAAGTTCATTGTAAATTGATACCCACAATTTAAAAAAAAAAAAAAAAACACCCCCACCCCCAAAACAACCCCACTCATACAACATAATTTCTTAAAATTTAAAAAAATCATTTTTTTTTTTAATACTATTTACATTGCTCAGATTGTTGCCCTCATCTTAGTTGTAATATTCATGACCTTTTGGCCATTGTACACACCAGCCTTGATTGGAATTTCAAACCGAACCCTTTATTTTGTTTCCCGTTGTAGATTGTTCTAGTTCTATGTGCCATGCCTCTTCTGGATGTTTTGGTGTCAGTTATCTCCCTTTAACTCAACTCTCCAAGTTTTTTGTTTACCTGTAGCCAGGTATTGAACTCACAACTCTTTGGGTCAAGTCACTGGTTTCTTTTATCCACTGGGCCATGTGTCATTGAAGACATCAGTGTACAATGGTTGAAACGTAAATATGGCAATAAAGATGAGGACCACAGTCCAAACAATGTAAATAATGTAAATAATTACAATGTCTCATCTCAGAAATATAGACAGATCCTGAAGAAGGCTGGAGCATAAAACAGCTGAAACACTGGATATGTCAATGAAAATGAGGACAACAATCCAAATGATGTAAATAGTGTAAATAATTACAATGTCTCATCTCAGAAATATAGAGAGATTTTTATCACTTTAAACATTATTTTTAGTGGATACTCATATTTGAGTAGACACCCTGTTTATTTATTAAACCAATGTTTTTATCCACTGGGCCATGTGTCTATGGATAAAAGCATTGATTGAAATAATCCAGCAACTTGACCCAAAGAGTTGTGAGTTCAATACCTGGCTCCAGCAGAGGTGAACCAAAATTTGGAGAGTTAAGTTAAAGGGAAATAACTAAAACTAAGATATCCAAAAGAGGTATGGCATGTAGAACTAGAACAAATAGATGAAATAAAGGGTTCATTTTGAAATTCTAATCACCTGAAGAAGGCTGGAGTGTACAATGGTCAAAATGTTGTGAATATGACAACAAAGATGAGGACAGCAGCCTGGAAAATGTAAATAGTGTAAAATGATTACAATACCTCATCTCAGAGATATTGACAGAAATCATTTTTTTTTAAAATTCATAATCCCGAGTGCTCAAGTGATAGTAGCATATAAAAAAAAAAAACACCCCAGATTACAAATTTAAAAAAAAATCTTATCTTCTTAAATTTTAGAAATCACATGGTATGAGCAAAGTTTTGTTTTGATTTCCATTGGGTAATCAATTTACAATGAAAATAAAATTATATTCATGATCTGGAATTTTTAATCTATAGTAATATGAATAAGAAATGTTCTTTTAAATGATTATTTCTAGTTACAGAGCCTATCGTACAACAACATATACAAAAATAGATTTGTTATGATAATCCAAAGTGATAAAACTTGTGATTAGATTCAACATTCAATATCCCAATTTTCCGAATTTATCAGGAAAAAATTATCTGTGTTTAGTGTGAGTTAAAAGAATTTTTTTTATTGTAAATTGATAGTACCTAGACAGGCTGTTACTGTGAAATACTACAATGAGCAAGTAGCTTGTTTGAATGACAAAGTTTAAGAAAAATTTCTTTTTCTGGGCAAAAAGTAAGCGCTTGTGTTTTTGTTACATTTTGTTTCTGGTTGTGTGGAAAGCTAACATCTTGATTATAACATTATTTTCCCCTTATAGTTATATTTTTTACCAATTTTAGCTGTTGTTGTTGTTGGAAATCTTCAAGTGATGTGGTTCTTTTTATTTTGGAAAGCTTTTTCTTTGTTATTTTTTTCATGCCAGTCTGATCAAACTTAAAGGATTCCTTTGCTGGAAACCATTTTTAATCAGATATATACAGATGATAATTTAGACTATTTTGCACAATATACAGCCTGCATGTGACCCAAGAGTAACATTGGATTTAGGATATATGAGGCCCTGTGCTAATTAAGTTATGAAGCCCCTTACTTGAACCCTGAAGGAGATAGACCCAGCATGCCTACACAGGCACGGAAGGAAGAAGGGTCCCTGTGTTTAAGAACACCTAAGCACAATGGTAAATCTGGAACTAATCAAGAGACTACTGTAGTATAAATGAGTCTCTATTATTACGTCACTTGTACAAATCAAGATATCGCTGGTTCAATCTGCCATTCTTGCTTTCTAAACACTTCACAACGTCAATCTGTTTTTTTGTTCTGCCCTTTTCACTGCTTCAGCCCTCTTTTATCAGGCCAACACTGCAGTCGACCAACCAATCCGCGTTCTTTGCTTTTATACTCAGTTACCCAGGCAAATAGCCTCCTCCTGTTCAACCAATCAGCAGACAACTTGCTATTGGTGGAAATATGCCAAACTGTACAAAAACCCTTGTTACGGAAGTTGATAGATGGGAGAGTAATGCCATTTTCACAAAGCAAACTTGCCGATGTCATGTGCCACACGTTAAGGTAAAGACCCTTATTTTCCTATACACCAGATGCAAAACACTCTGGCTTGCTTGCTTCTATGCGACTATTTACCACAACTACCCAGTTTGGGCCATGAGGGATTTTCAAAATGGTAAATTTTCCAAGACCAGCAGAATAAATTTGGTGACTGAATTGTGTACAAAAAAATTCAGTTTTGTGGAAGCATGAATTTATTCAACTAATATTTTACTGTTTTTGTATTTAATTAATCCTTTTAACTTAGAAAAAAGCAGAATTTTCGCATCATTTACATTCTCTGTAGACCTGTTTCTGCCTCGCCCGTACTCTCTGCAGAC